ACCCTTAGCAGGATGCAGCGCACCCTTCATGCGACTCGCCGAATATCTCACGGCGCTTCGCGCTTGGTGATGTGAGAGCCTGGTCCGGCGAGAACCCGGCGTGCTCCGTCCCGTCTTCGTAGGGATGCGAGTTCAATGGTCTAACGACTACGGCATGCACGACTATGAGTACACCCCCACCTCTCCATTACCCATTACCCCTCTTTGGTGCATCGTTTTCGGCCATGAAACGGAACCATAACGGCCATCAAACGGAATCGCAGGCGTGGTTGTTGAAGGTAGCTCCGGACGACATCTCCATCCCGCTGGAGTACACCGTGGAGTGGCTCATTGGCAAGGAAGTGGTCTTCAAGGAGTAATCCTTTACTTCATGATGGCGTGGAAAAGCCGCACACACACGGAAAGCGTCGAGACGTCATGAATGGTCGCTGCTATCTAGCAGCAAATGGAATCAACGCGGTGCACGAAGTAGGTTTTCCAGCACGTGCAGTTGAGAAGGGCGCTGCAAGGATACTTGGAATACATGCTGCTTTAGTTAAGTTCTACTGTTTGTTTGTTTTTGTCGATTTTTCGCGAGCGGTGCAATTTTATCTTGGGTGCTTTTGTTTCTTTTTCTGTCTATTCTCTGTTGTGTTTCGGTGTTTTGTGATATTGTGCTGCATTTTGGTGCTGTCCGTTACGACGTGCGCTTGAGTATTTGCCTCCCCAACGACAAGGAAGAAGGTGCTGTATAGTGTCCAGCTGTTTCGTGTGGAACTAACAACAACGATAGCGCAACAACTGTTGGACGAATGTTGAGAGGTTGGTCTGAGTTGAGAACTAGCGATGAAGACTACGGGGGTGGAGATATGTTGTACAGTAATAGGCAGATATGCCAATAGAAGCAAAGGTCTCAACTCTTGAGTCGGTTCAAGCGCATAGTAAAATAGGCATGCAATGTGAAAGGGATTCGAATGGAATAAAGGGGCAAGCTGAGTACGCGCAATCGTGGTCGATAAACAATCGAGTATCCTCACCACAAACTCCATTAAAACGAACACGCCATTGGGCTTATCTTTGAGCGCGCAATCGGAGTAATTGATCGCCACGTGCTATCTCGCCCCGCAAAGCACGTTTCAATTATTTCTGCGCGTGTGAATCATTCGAAGAAACTTATAGTCTAGAGCCCTCCTTTTCCCTACTAAAGAATCGTCGAGTACTTTCCTACCTATAGAAACGAGCGGGTATGAGGTACTGGTACCAAGCACAATAATAGTAATGACAAGGCTCCGGACGCGGGAAGTTACCGCCCCCCCCGGTCCTTCGTTTGCTTCGCCGCCCTTCGTGGAGAGCGAAACGCAAGGTGAGGTGCGAGCAAGCGCAAAGCGCATACCAAGTGGTACGTTCTTGAGTTGATCAGGATGTGGTATTAAATTTACTGCAGGACAGATGTGGAGCGGAGCAGGCCGTCGGGGCAGCTTTCGCTGTCCGGGCAGGGCCAGCCCTCTACTCCCAGCGACAGGAGGGGACGGGGCTTGACATGCAAACTGGATTGAAGACACGCAGAACACCAACATCAACCGCCCTATGCAACAACCCCGACACGAAATTTGACTCCACAGAGATGTTGGTTCGGAGAGCAACACACCGCGGTGTCTCGTCCAA